AAGAATATATGTTCAGCTGTTCTATAAACTCAAGAAAAATCAAAGAACAGGAGAAGCCATCTGTCGAATGTTGTCCAACTGTAAAATATATTTCAGTTGCTAAAGCTGGCAAAAAGGGGGGTCTCAAGCCACCTTTATCACACAAAATTTTAATTGTCACCCAGGTTTGAATATCTAAAATTATTGCATTTATTTAAACTGACATGAGACCCATAACCATCACCTGAACTGATGTGGCTATTCACTGGGAACAGAAATAGATTTTCAGGTAATGAAAACATATCAAAAGCATTTATCAATGCACTGAGTTCTTCATGCAACATAATGTGTGCCTGCTCAACTTTCATTCTAATTGTCCTGGACTACAGTCAGTAAGTAACCCAAGAATCAGGTGATTGTAAGGCAAAGAGCTGTAGAGCAATCCTGTCCAAGTCAGTTTATAGGTAATCCAGCAAGAGGAAGAGAGAAAGAAGAACAAGGTTGTTAGCCAGTCCAGAAGTTGTTAAACCAAGCCAGTAATCCAGAAGACCTGCTTGGAGATTTATAAGCAGCTGCCTCAGACTGCTAAGTGCTTGATGGGGCAGTGTTTCTTATTTGACAGACACTGAGACCTACAAAGCTTCACCTTCCCTTCTGTGAACTTCAAAGAAAGGGGGTGCTCTCAGCATCTGCCAAGTTATGTTTGTCATGGCCAGCCAGGCTGAGGACTTGGAGGACTCAGAGGAAAAGAGGCTGAGCCAGGCCCTAGCTTTCCTCTACCAGCTCCAGCAGAGCAGACTGAGCCTGGCCATAGCTCTGCTATGACAGCTCCAACAGAGCCTGTGACTCAGCGGCCCAGCCTCCCCCCGTAGAGATTCCAGGCCTGGGAGACATAAAGGAGCAGGACGAGGAGGTACCTACCTTCAGCCAGAGAAAGACAGAAAGGGCGTGCCTCCGTCGATCCAGGAGGTTATATGAGAAACATTTAGCAATTACCAAACAGCTGTGATTAGGAACTGGGCCAATATAAACAGCTATGAGAGCTTCTTCATCAGAGTCTATCCGCATTCCCTGGTGAAAGCATCTTACTCTGACTCCTTTGCTGCTTGAAACCTTGCCTTTTAGACCTCAAATTGACCTGGAACTCTTGACCCTGGACTGGACTTGCTGATCTGCTATATGTAACTCTTGACCCTGGATAGAACTTGCTGATCTGCTATTGTAACCCTGGACCCTGGACTGAACTCACTGACCTGCTCTCTGGACCCTTGGCTTTCCCCCTGGTTTTGCTCTATTGAACATAGGACTGGTACTGTGCTCTTAGAATTGCCTTCATGCTGCTGCAAAGTCTTGCATTTGTGTGCTTCATCATCAATAGTTTCGTTGGCTGCTTTCTTGGACAATGTTGAGGAGAGAGTCCCTCAACTGTTTCAGCCTCCAGTTTCTCCAATTCAGAGAAGCCACTGTAATCTGGAGCCATAAACTCCTAGAAATCTGTATCCAATTTTTCAGATTCTAGAGAGTGTGTTACGATACTAACTAGCAAACTAACATTTTCTTCAAGTCCCATGTTCTAATAAAGCTATTTCATAATTTTAAGAAATGTAAATGATGTTTTTGCTCATCAAAATATTCTTGTGCTTTTCACTGACTGGCTGAAGCCTATGGAATGACTTGCTTCTTTGGCAGTCTATTGGCAAATTTGGTTGTGACCAAATTTGGTTGAGAAAGTAGAATGAAACTTGGTACATAAATTCCAAAACACTCTCGTCTTTCATATTCAATTCATAGTTTGATCTTTCCACACTGCACAAAATCAATATTCAGTGGGGAGAGGGACACTTTATGGGTTAGAACTCAAGCAAGTATGTCGCATTTGGACCCATTGAAATTAAAGCAACTCAGTAATTATTAAATCATCACATTGAAATAAATAGGAATAAATGTGATTTAGATGTTCTGGATCCAACGTATTATGTTGTAATGCAACATGATGAAGACTGAATTATCTAAATGATATAGAGGAAATGCTCTGTTTTTCAGCTTTATATCATAACCTCATATCTACAATACTTTTCAACAGGGCTAGGGGGAAAATGCAACACCATATGCAGAACATCTGAAGACTGAGACAAAAAATTGATACAGGTCTATATATTCAAGATAACAGTCTATATTTAATGCTCAAAATCACACCAGGACACACACGGAGAGAGAGAGAGAGAGAGAACCATGGTATATTGTAAGTTGCTATAGTGCAGCTTCAAGCCTATTATTATTTTGGTCTCATTTTTAAACCCTAGTTTAATGTTAAGTACATGACACTCCCCCTACAACTCCTCCAGCACTGTGGTAGTTGAAAGCATACACTCCTACTTTTACAGTAAACCCAGTTTACTATTAAGTCAACCAGGGAAAGGGAGAAGACTCTCATTTTTTATTTTAAAAAGGCTTAGAAATTAGGAACACAGATCAAGATTTGAACTTGACTTCTTTGAACTAATCACTAAAATTTGCTTTGTTGAATCAAACCAAAGAGTAATCTAATTCAGAACACTATCTCCAAAAGTAACATTAATGCTCTGTAAAAATTATAAAGAAGAAGATTCAGAAAGTTGCTTTCTTTGCTTACTTCTAACATCTGGGAATCAAAAGTACAGTGCCAAGTAAACTTCTAGCTGTTATGACTAATCATCAGTGATAAATTCATATTCTACTTATAAATGATCTAAGCCTATCTACATGAAAGACCATCATATAATGATATGGTCCCATGATAATTTTCTTTGATGTACACATTATACTTTCTTGTATTTTGTACATTCTGGTAGTTTGTACTCTCTGTGTCTTTAAACCATCAAGCAGTACCTTAAGATTCTATTTCTCACTGAATCAGAGATCATGATACTCCCTGCACCACCTCTTAATACACAGTCTTTTTTTGGGAATGTTCTCTGTTCCAATTATCTGCTACAAAGACCATTTTTGTTTAATTCAAGACAATTTTTCTAAATTAAAAAACAGTGTAAATGAAAATAATTTATGCTTGAATTTATTTCAAGGTGACTAGATACATGTATTTTTGTATCTGCCTTCAAGTCGCCCATTGACTTATGGTGATACCATGAATTTCATAGGGTTTGTCAGGCAAGGAATACTCAGAGGTAATGTTACCAGTTCCTTCCTCTATAGCCTACAGCACCTGTTATTTGTTTGTGGTTCCCATTCAAATACAGGTTGAATACCCCTTACCTGAAATACTTCAAACCTGAAATGTACTATATTTTAGATCTTTTTGGATTCTGGAATACCTATATTTGCATATATATAATGCAACACAATGAGGCTGGAGAGAGAATGAGGATCTATGAAATGGCAGGAGGCATGGATTCCCACTTTCTCACAGATCCTTACACTTCTCTCCAGCTGCATCCCTGTCCAGCCTCACAAATACGGTACAAGTATCTACTATGCCATTATGCTGTAGCTGAAAAAGTTTTGGATTTTGGAGTAATTTGGATTTTGGAATTCCTCATAAGGAATTCCTCACCATATACTAACCAGGGCTGACCCAGCTCAGCTTCCAAGATCAGATAGGCTCTGGTACCTTTAGGGTGTTTAGGCCTTTGACCTGATGTAGCACTCAGCAAACAGAATCATGCCATTTTAAACAGATAAGATAAAAAAATCAATAAATGTCCTTGGCTTGCAATATCAGAATTTTCAGAATTTCTCTCTCTCTTTCCCAGCAAACATGTACCACATCACACCACCATGGTCTATATCTACTTCCCATTAAATGGTATAAATGTTATGTGGTATTTATGTGGACTCTTGTTCTTCTTCTCATATCTCATGGTTCTCAGTCAATCAGAATTCCTAGGACATTTGGGGCATTCTGTACATTTCCCCCAATATTCTTGAGCCAATTAGCACTCCAATGTCAAGTGCCTATAGATACCTTCTGGATTTAAAATATATACAGAATATTCTGCAGACTGATAATTAGCCCTGAAACTCCCCTTGCAATATAATTTTTTTTTAAAAAAAAAAAAAAGAGAGAGAGAGAAAACATTTGATATTTGTCAATTAGAAGGTGTATCTGTCTGGATATTCAGCAATCCCAAGTAAAAGAAATCCCACTTGGTTTCATTTTCTTCCTGACCTCTCATGATAATCTGCAACAAGCAGCCTTCAACAAACTCACTTAGCATAGGCACTGCAAGGGAGAAATGCACAGGACCAAATGGCTGTTAGCAATGGAATAATATTCTTGTGGGGTCCACTACAAATTGCATGCAATCAAGAACCTTTGACCCTTAAAACATTTTTGGAAAGCAGATGAGGGAAACCTCAATTTCTGACCACCAGATTGCTGATAATTATTGGGAAGCCATTTTAAAAGCAGGTATATCTCATGCTGAACACATTTGTACACATTTGCTTGGGGTTTTTTTTACAATGACACAAGGAATCCAAATTGAGCATATATAGATGGTGGTTTTTAAAACATTCTCTGGATGTATTTGATCAGGAATTGCTAATCATTTGGGGTGATTCCAAAAATCTCAATATTTATATTTTGATTACATGCGTTTGTCCATTTGCTTTATATTGTATTGCATTGGTTTTCTTACAATTGTGTTACAAATTGTATTGGTTTTACATTTCTATTACTGCCATCTTCCTGTGTTTGTTTGTGTAAGTGTGTTCATGTATAGGATTGTATATCGTTGGAATGGCTGGCTGACTTTTTTGTATTTCTATTTGTGAAGTGATGTATACTGATGGCACTATATAAATAAATTAAGATGACAACAGCAACAATGAAATGTTGGCTCTTTAACTATGATTGGTAGGTAATATGGCCACAGTGGTCCTTGAACCCATTCATAGTATAACCCTAAGGCAAACTTTATCTTGGAATTTTCTTTGCAAGATTTGTTCAAAGGAGGTATGCCTTTACCGTTCTCTAAGACTGAGAAAGTGCAACTTGCTCAAGGTCACCTCGTGGGTTTCCATGGCCACGCGAGGATTTGAACCCTGGTTTCCAGAGTCCCAGTCCAATGCTCAAACCACTACACCACGCCTGGTCTCTTTTAGCACCTTATTCCTCTTTAACTGCCAAAGCAACATCCTGGGGTTTGTTTGTTGAGATCTCTGATTGAGAATTCTGACTAGAGCTTTCCAACTGAGAATTCTAAATATTATTTTCTAAACTGCAAATCCCAGGATTTCATAGGATGTTGCCATAACAGTGAAAAGTAGCGCTATAATTGTGTAGTGCAGAAAGGGCACCTTCTATGAAGACAAAAAAGCAGAAATAGGGGAAAGTCAAGGGAGCTAAAATTCAGAGCACTCAGGAAGGAAGCAGCTGCAGGCTGTGAACAAGACTGAAATCCCAGATCAAAACACAGAGGTGAGAAAGGTCTGTAGAAGAGGAAAAGAGAAGTCCGGTAGCTGTCTTCAGAAGCAACAGAAGTCTGAGTGTGAGTCACAGCTGAAGTGGTAGCTGCTGCTACAGAAGGAAAACTCAGGCTGCATCCACACTGCAGAAATAGCCCAGTCTGACACCACTTTAACTGCCATGGTTCAGTACTATGGGATACTGGGACCTGTAGTTTGTAGAGCTCTCTGACAGATGTCTCACATAACTACAACCCCCAGAATTCTGTAGTATTGAGCCCAGGCAGTTAAAGAGGTGTCAAACTGCATTAATTCTGCAGTGTGGATGCAGACTCAGCCAGAGTACAAACATAATAACTTTAGGACAGGGTGGGCAATTGCATGGAGTGGCAATTCTTGCCTCCTTGTCCCGTCCCCTGAATTGGCCACACTTGCACTGGAAGTGCATTAGAAGAGGCACCCTGCTGCTTCCAATACCTCTTTCAGATTAAAGGCTTTGGTGGGGCTTGAAGGTCTGGTGCGGGGACAGGCAATTTACTGCACTTTGGCATGCTTTCAGTAAATTTTATCCAGAAAAATGCCAAAATAAAAATGTTAGGAGTCTGGGGGCTCTGCAGTGTGCCTGGTGCCTCAATGGCCAAAAAGGTAAGATGTAGAGTGTATGTCTATGGCCTACAGTCACACTTTCCCCACCCAAGTTTTAGAGCAATTCCTGCAAGTTGGCTGGAACACAGCTGGGTAAGGGCATCGACAATGCTTAGTGGAACTGGCGCCTCTACTGTAGATATTCATCTATAAGTCAATCTCATATATAAGTCAAAGGCAGGTTTTGAAGCCCACATTATGGATTTTGATGTGAACAAAATTATGGATTTTGAGAAGCTCAAGGTGAATTTTGGGATACATAATACAGGGTGTAAAGAATGAAGCAAAATAAAATGATCACAAGGAACTTGTAAAAATTTTGGAAGGCATAACTGTTTGTGCTCAGCCAAAAAGCTGGATGGATGAGGAGGGAACTATGATAAATGTTGGCTGTGTGATGTTGGCAAGGAGGAGTACAGGAATGGGCAAGACTAAGAAAACACATGCATGTACAAAAGGAAAAGCAAAGGAAATGGCAACCACGTTAGCAGTGATTATAGTTTTAACTTTAATATGACAACTTTGCCTGATTTTAACCCAGAAAAGCTGACAAACATACAGAAATGTCTTGTTCAAATTCTTTAAAGCCTGATTTAGCACTCCATTGACAGGGAACTGCCAAAGAGCTGCCACCATTGCAATTTTCCTGTCCAAGCATTCAAAAAGTTCAGAAGCAGCATCATAGTAGAGAGAGCAGAGGGGTCAGTGCTTCTTTTTAAGTGCTCAGAGGAGGATGGTTGATTTTTTATTAGAGTTAAAGTACAATACTTACATTGATCTGTGGATAATTCAACCCAGTTTTTTTGGGGGGGGACAATGTTTGACTAAAATTTCTAGACTTATACATGAGTATATATAGTATTCTTGAAGCAACTTTAGAAAGAATAAGGCTGCATCCACACTGCAGAAAGAATCCAGTTTGTTGTGGCACCAGGGCTCTCTGACAGAGATGGCTAAATGTCTCACAAAACTACAATTCCCAGAATTCCACAGCAAAGAGCCATGACAGTTAAAATGGTATCAAACTGGATTATTCCTGCAGTGTGTCTACAGACCTAGTAATAATTAATAATATTTTAGGAGACATAGTAAATATCCATAAGGATTTATCTTAATCATTTGTTATACAGACATACAGTCATCCCTCCGAATTTGCAGGGGATCTGTTCTCAACCCACCCACGAATTCGAAATTTCATGAATATTCAAGTCCCATTGTCCTCAATGGGACTTGAGTATTTCATTCCCTCCCCCCTTCCTTCCTTCCCTCCCCCTGTCCCTTCCTCCTTACCTCCTTCTCCCCCCGCCCTGGGAAGGCTGGTGCGGCACAGAAATGGCCGCACGGGCTGCCTCCAAGCCTCCAGAGCCGAGAAAATGCGTGCCAGCTATCTCCAGGCCTCTGGAGCTGAGGCAAGGTCACACCGGCCACCTCCAGGCCTCCGGAGCCAAGGCAAAGCTGTGCCAGATGCCCATGCAGCCAAGGAAAGGCCAGCGCAGAAAAGGAGGTAAAAGAGGAAGGGAGGGAGGGAGGGAATGAGTTATGGGCTTGCCATTCATGAGCAACTGAAACCGCAAATGACAAGTCCGCAAATCCAGAGGGACAACTGTATTTATTTCTTTAATTTAAACTTCACTGCTAACATTCAAAGACATAGCCATGCTAGTCTGGAAAATCAGTATGCAAAGGGATCTCACTGCATCTTTGAGACTAAATGAAAGAAAGAAGATGGTAGCATGAGCTTTCATAGACTACATCTTGAGATGCATGGATTGGAGGGTCCAGGGCCAGAACTATATAAGCAGGCTGTGTGTGAGAAAGCAATAGAAATGGAAAACTTGTAGGTATAGAGATGAAGTGGCAATTGGGGGACTTCAGTTTTAACTATGGCAATTGAGGGACAAAGCCAGGATGTTACCTAAAGCCAAGGCAAGTAGATAACCATATGAATGGTGGAGGGAATATTGGAATTTAGTGTGGGAACCAGAGAGGAGATGTGATGAACTGACTAAGAGAGGTTTCATAAAGTTGGGGGTTAACTAATATTATAATGTGTGTAGTGTGCCTGGAAACCATTGTCTCTTTGCAACACATGGTATTCCAAATACTTTCCTAAGAAATTGGAAGCCACACGTACACTGTAAACCTGGAGTGGAATTTCCATCTAAAACTATACCTGGAGTACTGACATTTAGAGCTGTCATTTTTCAGCACCAAGTACCTAAAATCCATTTTGTCAGCAGATGTATAATGCAGATGCTACTTTAACTTCATCTCACTGTTCTCATTAAATTTTTCATATGTACAGACATAAATACTGGGCATTAGCACACACAAAAATCCATTATTTCTGAATCAGCACAATGAAATCCTGAATCTTATTTCTGCACTACTTATTATGCATGAGATATAATATTGATTTTATTTTCCCTCACTCTTGCAATAAAAGGCATTCAAATGTATGCAAACTACCATGTTTGTTGACTTGTGATCTTAAAAGTGATGGCAATATAATGGAGAAAACTTCTAAAGTATAATTTATTGGGGATCAAAACTATAGCATTGCTACTAAACACTGTAAGAATGACAGGAAACAAATGCATATAACTGCCAATAACTTGTGCTTACTTAAGGAAGAAGAGACCAACTGATTCTTAGGGAATCACATATTTATTTTATATTTTACAGAGCATTCAAGCAATATGGGACTGTTCACTCCCATTGAAAATACAATAACCAATTTTAATAAAAACTTATTCCACCCTGGTATTACCTATCAAGATGATCATTTTATACAGAAATAGATGCTATTTCTGTTATACATGATAACAGCATTATTTGTGTTGTTATTTATTTAGTTGGGCTATGACTCTGGGAGACCAAAGTTCAAATCCACACACAACCATGAAAATCCAGTGGGTAACTTAGGAAAGTCACACTCTCTCAGTCTCAGTGGAAGACTTAAGTCAAACCCTCTCTGGACAAATCTTGCAAAGAAAACCCTGCAATAAGGTTGCCTTACGTACGGTCACCATATTTCAGTAATGACTTGAAGTGACAGAAGAACAATAGCTACCTTTTCTCCAAATATGAAACTAAAAGTCACTTAAAATAAAATTCATAAGAAAATAACTACAATATACAATTGGCCTTCCATATCCATGGATTCTGCATCCACGGGTTCAACCACAGGTTCAAAATATAGGAGCCCTGGTGGAACAGTGGTTAAATGCCTGTACTGCAGCCACTCACTCACAAACCACAAGGTTGCAAGTTCAATACCAGCCAGGGCTCAGACTTACTCAGGCTTGCATCTTTCCAACGTTGCTAAAATGAATACCCAGCTTGTTAGGGGCAATTAGCTTACAGTTGTAAACCACTTAGAGAGCTGCTATTGCTATTGCTATATCTGCCCCAAAAAATTCCAAAAAGCAAATTTTAATTTTAACATTTTATGTAAGAGACACTATTTTATTATACTACTGAATATACAGTAATGGGAGTTTAGCATCCATGGACTTTGATATCCATGAGGAGTCTTGGAACCAAATCGCAATGGATACCAAGAGCCCACTGTATAATTCAAAAATTAGAAAACCGTTAAATAAACAGTTCATTTAATGCATTAATTCAAAACAAACACATTAAAAGCATATTAAAAATACTGCTCCTGTCCCACTCAGTTAAAAGCTGAAGGCTTGTTTATATAGCTATGTATCTATATAGCAATCTATCGTTTCTGTTTGTTGGGGAGGGAAGAGCAGAGAATGGGTCAGCTGAGCCTCCCATAGCCTCAAGGCAACCATCAGGAAGGCTTTCTCCTGGTGAGCCTGTGAGGCTGGTGGGACTGAGACTAAGCCATCCCTCAAAATTCATAAGATTTGGACAAGTTCATATGGGGAGATATGGGAGAATATCACACGGAGGATTGCCATGGTTAAAACATGGCTAGATCGTTCCTAAAGCACACCAGTGATCACCAGTTGCGCTTCTCTCCCATGGTTAAATTGCATTCCCTCTGCTCCCATCATCAAACCATTCGTGGAG